GGGAGCCACCGGCAGGAGGAGGGGGGGTAGGGGGGCAGGTCCTCTGGTCTCCGGCCGGATCGTGCCCCGAGAGCCCGAGGGGGCTGGCGCTGGGGTCCCCGGTGGGTGACCGGGATTAGGGGCACGGGGCTGTGGGCAGACGGGGTGCCGGGGGTGGGAGCGGTGAAGGAGGGAGGGGCGGTGTCTCTGTGCCTCCGCGCGGATGGGCTCAGCTTTATCCAGGGCTGTAATCCCCCCTGCTCCGGTAATTAAAAACTCCGCATTACAAGGAAAACGGTGTGCAGGGAAATGTAATCAAGTCTGGAGGGGCTTAACCATCTGGTAAAGGTTAGGACCGGCACGGCGGGGGCCGCGGCCGGGGGATCTGGCAGCCGCTGCGATTCGGGCTCCTCTTAATCTACCGCGGGGACGAGCGCAGCATCTGCGGGGTAATACCGGTGCCCCGGGCAGCGATCGGTATCGCCGGAGCTCCCACCGCCGTTAACGGGACGTCCCCGGGGCTAACCCGCTCCCCAGGTGCGTTCGGCTCCGGTAGATCGATTCTGGTGTGGCACCCGGGTCCGGATTGCATCCCCTCCGCGGGGTCAGCAGGGAAAGGGTTAAGCGGCCGCCGGTGGTCGCGGTTCGTCCCCCCCAGCCCCGGGAAGGGCCCTCCCCCGCCGCCTCCGGGAGCCCGAAACTCTTCGAAAGTGCAAGGGGCGAGCAAAGGCGAGGGGCGAGCAAAGGCGAGGGGCAACGCGGCGGCGCGAGTGGGTCCCCGCGTCCCCAGGAGGGCTGCGGGGCCATGGGGGCCGGGGCAGGCTCCAGGCGGGAGCAGCTCTTCCTCCGCTCTCTACTCTTCCTCCTGCTGACCGGGTCCCCGGCACCGCGCCTGGCGAGCGGGCAGCTGCGCTACGCCGTGCCGGAGGAGCTGGAGCACGGAGCCTTCGTGGCCAACCTGGGCGAGGACCTGGGGCTCGACGTGTCCACCCTGTCAGCGCGGCGGTTCCGCATCGTGTCACGGGCCGGGGCCAGGCAGCACCTGGAGGTGAACCTGGAGAACGGGATCCTTTTCGTGAACGAGCGGATTGACCGGGAGGAGGTGTGCGAGGCCGGGGGGACCTGCTTGCTCCACCTTCAGCTCCTTGTCGAGAGCCCACTGGAGCTCTACCGCGTCGAGGTGGAGGTGCTGGACATCAACGACCACGCACCCACCTTCCCCTGGCAAGAGTATGTGCTGGAGGTGGCTGAGTCCGCCGTGCTCGGCGCCCGCTTCCCACTGGAGAGTGCCCAGGATCCTGACGTGGGCACCAACTCAGTGCATACCTACCGCCTCAGCCCCAACAGTTTCTTTTCGCTCGAGGTTCAGACGCGCAGTGACACCAGCAAGTTTGCGGAGCTGGTGCTGGAACGTGCCCTTGACCGCGAGCAGCAACGCACACACCGGGTGCTGCTCACTGCTCTTGATGGCGGTGTCCCTGAACGCTCGGGCACAGCTCACATCCTCGTCATGGTGCTGGATGCGAATGACAACGTGCCTGTCTTTGACCAGCCCTCGTACAGTGTGAGCCTTCCTGAGGATGCCCCTCCTGGCACCCTGGTCATCCAGCTCAATGCCACTGACCTGGACGAGGGCCCCAATGGGGAGATAGAGTACTCCTTCAGTGGGCACGCACCGCCCCGCGTCCGGGAGCTCTTCCACGTAGAGCCCCGGAGTGGGCAGGTGCTGCTGAAGGGCCCTGTGGACTACGAGCGGGCAAGCCTCCATGAGCTCTATGTACAAGCCAAAGACCGTGGACCCTCAGCTGTGGCTGTGCACTGCCGGGTGCTCGTGCACCTCCTTGACGTGAACGACAATGCGCCAGAGGTGACCCTCACCTCTGTGTCCACACCCGTGCTGGAGGATGCCCCACCAGGCACTGTCATTGCTGTCATCAGCGTTCTGGACCGGGACTCTGGGGATAACGGGCGTGTGAGCTGCGAGGTCAGCCCCGATGTACCCTTCGAGCTCCGCTCTTCCTTCCGCAACTACTACACACTGGTCACCACACAGGCGCTGGACCGGGAGGTTGTGCCTGAGTACAACATAAGCATCACAGCACGGGACATGGGGTCCCCCACCCTGCTGACCCTCAGCACCCTTACTGTCCCAGTGTCTGATGTCAACGACAATGCCCCACGCTTCCTCCAGCCCTCCTACAGCGTCTATGTGATGGAGAACAACGCACCAGGTGCCTCCATCTGCTCCGTCAGCGCGTTGGACCCTGACTGCCAACAAAACGCTTACCTATCCTACTCCATTGCTGACGGGCACATCCATGGCATGCCTGTGGGCACCTATGTGTCCATCAACTCGGACAGCGGGCACATGTATGCCCTGCGATCCCTCGACTATGAGCAGATCCGCAGCTTCCAGATTCAGGTGCAAGCACAGGATGCGGGTTTCCCCCCACTCAGCGCCAACGTCACTGTCCACATCTTTGTGCTGGACCAGAATGACAACGCCCCAGTCATCGTTTCCCCCATGCCACACAATGGCTCTGTGGCCACTGAGTTAGTGCCACGATCAGCTGGGCCTGGCTACCTTGTGGGCACAGTGTCGGCAGTGGATGCAGACACGGGGCTGAACTCTCGCCTCTCCTACCAGCTCCTCCAGGCCACTGACTTCACCCTCTTCAGTGTAGCACCTGACACGGGTGAGCTGCGCACCCTTCGCTCCTTTCTGGAGCAAGACGCAACCCGGCAGCGGCTGGTGGTGCAGGTGCGTGACGGTGGGCAGCCAGCCCTCTCAGCCACTGTGTCCCTCCTGCTTTCAGTGGTGGAGACCATGCCTCAGACTCTCTCCGACTTCAGCGAGTTCAGCCTCTCCCCAGAGGACTCCTCATCCTCCCCACTCACTGTCTACCTCCTTGTCTCCCTGGGCTCTATCTCCTTCACTTTTCTCCTCGCCATCCTCATCCTCACAGCTATTCGGTGCCGTGGAGAGCGGCGCTTGTGCCGAGGTGATGGCTGCTCACCACCCCGCTGCCACTGCTGCCCTGGCTCCAGACCCTCCTCTGAGAGCCTGAAGACATCCAACCTGACAGCGCAGCCCCTCACGGGGACCATGGCTGCCACCTGCCTCGATGTGCCCGGGGGTGGTCCCCCGGGCTACTGCTACAAGGTCTGCCTTGGTCCTGAGTCTGCCCAGAGTGACTTCATGTTCCTCAAACCCTGCAGCCCCCCCTGGAACAACGAGAAAGACTCGGGGAAGCAGTCCCGGCCAAGCCAGCATCTCCAGGTCTCCAAGCAGGTAATTCCATGCCTGGGGTGCTTACCAGTTCTCCACAGGTTCCCCCCACCCCCTTCCTCAGCCTCTGCTGTGAGAGAAACCAGCCACGTCTTTTCCTAGAGATTAACCAGCATCTTTGATCGGTGTGGAAATTATGAGCCAGCAGGCAATGGGAACCTCCCCACTGAGGTCTTATTACTAGGGAATGACAGGCTTGGCTGAGGTGAGAGGAAATCCCGTTCCGATGCCTTTTGCACCCATTAGAGGCAACAGAGATGTTCCAGTGCCCAGGGGGAGGTAGAATGGTGGAGGTGGCCTCTCCTTCATGTGGGTGAGCAATTCACGCTGGGACAGCCTGAGCATCACTGCCACTCTGCTTCCCCCATGCCGGCGGGGGTCCGCAGTGTCCCGCTGCCACATTCAGGGCTGGCCCTGGCCCCTCTGGCATCACTCGTGTCCCCAGTTCTGGCACCCAGGCCTGGCTGCTGTGCTTGCCACTGAGCTGCCCCAGCAGGGAGGGAGTGGGGTCTTCAGGGCGGGATTTTGATGTCAACATTTGTTAGGTATTGAAATGAGGAATGTCTAATTTTCCCAATGAAAGGCTCTTTCTGAAACGCGATTACAAGGATGGAGAGTGATGAGGCGTCTAATCCACTTACGTTTGACTTTTAATAAAACAGCCCTTCCAAGGAGAGCCCAAGACTGGCTGCCAAGAGGCTCTTCTTGCACGTCTCCTTGCACAACTGGCCTCACTTCTCTAATACGTTAATGGGATTTTCCCCTAGTTGTTTACAACCCCCCTGGGACAGTGGGTATGCAGCCAGTTTCTACACCTCTTACCCCTTGGTGCCTGAGACCTGGGCTAAGTCACCATCCCACCTGCAAAACAGGCTTTTTAAAATTAACAGAAATAAGAAAAGCCTCTCTCTCTCCCCAGAAGGACAAACCTTGGCAATTAAACTCCCAAAGACAGAGAGCAAGCCCCTGACAACCCCAGTGTCTCAGGATGGTGGGGAAGGTCCAGGAGCGAACAGGCTGGTTCAACACTGCCTCAGTTTCCCTAAAATGGGAATGTGCTACTTGCTTCTCCACAAGAGAGGAGATGGAGTCCTGCATCCCTGACTACTGAAGCCTTGTGCTGGCAGCACTGGGTTGATGAACAGAGGGTTCCAGGGCTGATTAACAGTGGGTCCCAGGTCCCCCAGAATCCCCGTAACCAGCCTTGCCCTTCCCTGTGTTTTTCAGATCAAGCAGCCCAACATGGACTGGCTGCCTCCAAGCACGCAGCGACCTGCCCTGAAAAGGTACCAGATCCGACATTGCGGGAACAGAGGGAACGGGTGGAAGGGGGATGTGGGGATGGGGAAGCTATCTCTGATGCAGCTTTGAACCGGTCTCTTCTCTTTAGCTCCCAGAGCCTGGAGGACGTGGGGGAAATCCGCAGAGCTCTCCAGAAGGAGCATGAGAGGCTGTGCACGCTGGTGACCCCTGTCTCTGGTTAGTACTGGGGTGCTGGGGCTGGGAAGACCAGACCCTCTTGTAGCTTGGTTGAGGTGCAGTGGGGAGGACACATCCCTGTTCCTAGCAGTGGTAGAGTTTTGTGGGGTGAAAGAGGTGTCCAGGCTGAAGAAGGGAGGTTGGTGACACATAGCCACGGGCTTGCACCCTGGGGCATGGATGTGATTGTTCCACTGAACTATGGATGTGACCTCCCCTGAACCAGTCTCATGCTCATCTTTCCTCCAGAGTTTCAGAAGGCTTCGGCAGGCACCAACAGCATCTGGACACCCCAGTACAGCCCCTTGTACCCAGGTCACATCCCAGCCTTGGATTATCAGCACAATGTCTACATCCCCGGCACCCCTACTCTGCTTTCCAGCAAAGACGGGTCCCTCTTCCTGGGCAGGGAGAACAAGAACAGCTTCTCCACCTTTGGCAAGAGGAAGAAGATGACAGCTTACTGTGACATGCATGACAGTGTGGTTATCAACAACGACCTGAAATAGTGACCAGTGCTAGGCCTGGATGGCTCTGCCCAAAGCCCTGGGAATCACCTGCATATTTCAGCTGCGGGGTCCACTTGCAACACACAACTCCATGCACAGACCCCTCAGGACTTCATGGGGCTGCTGGGATAGTGGTTCACCAGAGTGTGGGGAAAGGATTTAAGGAGCAAGGGACTGAAAAGTGATAAGGGTGGGCAGGAGGAGGGGGGATGGGCATTTCTCCCATTTCATTCCACAGAGCTGTGTTGGCAGCAGGTGCTGTTTGGGTCCATATGACCAGATTTAAGCAAATCTGTCTTGAGTTTACTCATTCCCACGTCCCTTTAGGGACCATCCATCTCTGTAAACATTGTCACTTATTTGTCTTGTCTGGCTGTGTGAATGTACTGAGCTGCATGCCTGTATTTCTGTCCCAGTAGGCATGGAAAATGTATGCAGACAAAGCCTGGTTCAGTTAAGCCTGATCCTACGTACTGGGGCAGGGATCTCTGTCCCTGAGATCCAGTGGGATGTGTTGCATGTCTGGAGCAGCCATTATTGTCTTCTCTGGGGAGCAAGTGCAAAACCCAGCCATTATGGGTTCTTCCCTTCAAACCCTGACCCAACACTTGCAAGGCTGGAGACCCAAAGGCCGGGACACAGCCAGTCTTTTCTCCAGGAGCAGCGTGGGCTGGAGCACACACAGATGGGCTGGCCAGAAGAGCTGTTAGCTTAAGCAGCTGAGAGATGCACAAGGTGAGGCCCTGCTGGGTAACTCTTTAGCCCAAAGCAACATCATCTGATCAAAAGACAGTTTCCAGCCATAGGAGGGCCCCCAGCACAGGTGACCATCCTCTTCCTTCCTCCCCCTGCCCTCACCTCTGTTTTTGCCAGGTCCTGAACACCTGGGAACCCCAGCACTGGGGGCCCCACCTGTATAGGACAGACATCTCCCACTGTGCCCTGCTTCTCTTTGAGGACTTTTAGCTGGCTGTCAGGAGCCTTCAAGGGCAGGATTCCAGCCCCAGAACAGTCTCTCCCCTTCCCTGCTCACCCTACACCTGTCCACCTGGTCTGTCTGCCACAACTGCCAATCGCTCCTGTCACGGGACAGTTCATTTCCAATCCATCTGTGCAGAACATGACAGATCTCTCTAAAACAGGTTTGTTTCACAATGTCTGATTTGTACCAATAAATTGTATTTTAATAGCTCACCCTGGCTCCTGGCTGTCCCTGAGCTGTGTGTGACAGTCTGCTCTTGGAACAGAGCTTGGCTGCAGGAGACGTGTGTCCCTCTGGCCTCCATAGTTGCTGAAGAAGCCCAGGAGAGATCATTTTATTCACTTCACCTGGATGCTGGGTCTTAAGGTCCCCTTCCCTCCTTCCTTAGCCTGAGGAGCACTTTGTGGCCATGGCCAGGAGGAGCTGTGTGCTGCAGATGTCACGCAGCTCCTTGCTCCATGCTCCATCTTGGGCAGAGTCTCTGCAGGGATTTGACGTGGGCATAAAGGGCTTTGAACTGCTGGGGAGAGGGGCTGGATCTGGCAGTAATGGCTTATTGGTGTTATTGTGCATTGCTTTCTGTGGTTCATTTAAGCTTTCTCCTGGATGCTCACCACTCACCAGCTTGCCTCGGGAGTCACAGAGATAGCCTGGATGTGTGCCAGGTGTAGGGACCAGCTGCCTGCGAATAGGCAAGCCTGTATCTGCTGGTGGGATGACTCTTGACTCAATGTGGGAAACGGTTCACCTCTGGATGGAGTCCTGATATAGCCATGCCGTGGTGGTCCTTCTCTTATCCTCCGCTCGCTTAGTGACTGGCTTGAGGAGGCTGCAATGTGGCTTTTGGGATTAACCCAGAAATGTCCTTGTTTACAAGAGGGTAATGTGCTCTTTAGTGGAAGCAGGGGGCAGGGGTCACTCCAAGGGGCCCTGGGGAAGTAAGGGACCCAGGAGAATGGTGAAAGTGACCTGGCTGCTTCTGATGACTTCAGTCCCAGCTCACATCTGCCTGTCTGTGAGTAGCTGAAATATTCCCTGTCCCAATTAGATGGTCAGGTGAAGGATTTTATGCTGCTGACTGCATTCTTCAATGGTCTCTACAGGGTGTTAGGGGTAAAAAAATCCCAAACAGCCACTGTCTGAGACCTCTGTACAGCATTAGCCTGTTTCACTGCTTCAAAAGAACATGAGAATTATGTAAAGTGATACAAGAAAATGAATAACAGCCTCAAGAAGTAATAAATGTACTAAATGGATCTGACTCCTTGCCGGGCAGCAAACATCTCCCTTTCCCAGATTAGCTCTGGCAATACCCTCTCTGCCATTTTTAGGTGGTGCTGGTCAGGCATTAGGAGAGGACTACAGGGGCTCAGCCACAGCCCCTCTGCAGCAGGGCCAAGCTGTTAGCTGTGTTTTAGCTCACACAAAAAATGCACCCAGAGCATGTATCAGGGTATCCAGGATCTAAATGAACGCACAGAGCTAGTACTTTCTACCAGATTCCCAGGTGTGGCTTTTTGAAGGAAAATTGATCTGAAAATTGATTCCCAAAATCATAGGTATTTGAAAATACGATTTTGCGTCCCTGTCTTTGGAAATTCATGGGGTTGAGCAATCATATGGCCAGATTTTGCCACCTCCCCATGAGCCTGTCACTCTCCAAAGTATTTTCTTGGCATTTTTTAACCCAAATTACTAAAGCTCAAGTAATGCCCAGTATATTGCCTCCTTCTCCTCTCCATTTCTCCTCCCCATCCTCAGTCCAGGAGATGAGATTAGATACACACACATGTCTGCAATTCTTGATGATCCCCAGGTTTTCACATTCAGGTCAGGCCTCTTTCAAAAGGGATTTGAGGGTCAACACAGGGCCCAGTCCAAGCCCCAACACCCCACACTCCCTAAGGATCTCCTTTTGTTTAGTTTAATAAAATCCTGCACTGACAAAAGCTCAGTCTCAATCTTTCTTCCTGATCAACATATTGATAAAAGGGACTTGCTTCAGGGGAGAGAGCACTTACTTAAACCTACTTCATCCACACTACCACCCCTTCTTCAAAGGGCATGCCTGGTCAGAACTGTCCATCTAATAGATGAGATCTCCTTTGAAGATCTCCCACAGGGACAGAGTGTCATTAAAAATGCACGGTCTTGCCCTACAACCAGTTAATTTTACAACTCTCACTGTGCTTACACTCGTGCACAGTTCATGAGCATTAGCTGGTTTCTGTAGTCTGATAATGCACTGGGCATGAGAGCCACTTTGCAGACATACTCAACAGAAAGCTCTCTATATGCCCCTCTCATACATTCCAGCTCTCTCTGAGATTCAGAGGCAAATCTGGCTTTCAGGGACCTGACAGTCAGCTTGAGATCTGCCTCTACAACAGCGGGAAAGCTGCCATGTGGTGCAGTTGGTTGCAAAATGCTGCAGGCCACGCTTGACAGGCACATAGTGCTTCTGGGCACCAGCACAAATGGGGGGGGTTGTGCTCTTGCTATTGCTGAATAGACTCTTTGGATGGAAACATTACTTATATCTCTGAAATGACTTGAAAGTATATACAAGAGAGACAAAATGAATCCAGAGCTAGAGAGAAAAGAGGCCAGAGAGAAAGACCCAGAGGGGCTGGTGCTCAGCTCTACTCTGCTCTGCCACGCGTGGAGTCAAGCAGCAGCGAGTGAAGCCCCCAGGAGACCTTAGCAGGGACACAGCTCTCTGCATGCAGCCAGGTTAGGCTGGGTAGAGCCATGAATAATGGCAGTCTCAGGTTCCCAGAGGGGTCTGTATTGGCAGGACAGAGCAAAAATCCATGGGGACCAGTGGGAGTCTGCGCATTGACCTTGGAGGGTTCTGGAGCCAGCCCAAAGTCTGTGGCACTCAGGGGTTAACTGCAGTCTCCAAAGATGCTAGGACTTTGTTCTCTTCTCACTTGAAGATGGTGCTGGACTGAACACATCTTAATTTAGCCTAGACTGGGTCAAGGTCCATCCTGATTTCTTTTCAAATTGCCTCAGTGTCTTAAATATCTCCCTGGATTCACCCTACAGAACAGCCTGCTGTTCCTGGCTGGATCCCCTACTCCTCTTTTGATCTCAGCAGATGTTTTGTAGAAATAAACATCCTTTAGCTTTTGTCATAATAATTTAGCCTCTGCCACACTGAAAAATGTTCTGCATGAATGTCACATGCTGATTTTCTCTGTTCCTTTGCACCTTTTCTATTTTTTTACTGCTCTGAAAACATCATTTGCCAACTCCTCCACAGAGGAAACAGGCCTGGGCTAAGGGAAGCCTTTGCCTCCCCAGTTTGCCTGTAATGCGTTTCCAATCTAAGTGGTGGAAATGTCACTGACTCTGTTTGCTGCGTTCACTCAAGTGGAATTAATGCTTCTTGTTAGTGATAATATGACTTAACCAGCTTAATTATTGTGAGACAGAAGTAGACACCTTTGTGTATTGAATAACTTATGACATACTGGACCAAAAAACACGAATGAAGGCTCTGAAAATAAATTAAATATGACCTCTAGTGCAGTCTGCACTTTGACTAATGATTCATCTCCCATGAAATTCAATGATTTACAGATCTTACATTTGAATAAATGATACATTTTTGCATGTTTTAAACAATAGCAGTGATTTCTATTTCAGCATTCGGAATTCAAAGTGTTTCTCTAATGGCAGGAAGCAGGGCAAACAAGTTCATGTTAAACGGATTGAAAAATAAAACATTTGTGCAGTCAACCTTCAGAAATACATCCAGATGATCTGCAGGCATTTGTGATGAGATATTTATTTTAATTCATTGCTAGGAATATCTGCAACAACAGGTGAAAAAATGCATCAGAAGAGATGAAGAGAGAATAAAGATTCCCAGAAAGGTCACTGGGGTCTTCACATCAAATCCATTTGTTTCAATAATGTCTACCGTAGAAAATATCATTAAATAGCTCCAGAAATGTCTTATCATACATTTTGTCAGCACAGAAAATAAATCATACTTACAAGAAGGAAACAGAAGCAGAAAAAGCAACCATCAATCAAGAAAATTATTATTAGCCAGATTTCTGATAGGCCAGGATGCAGAGACTCTGTGATAGCAGGCTGCATGTGAAATAAAAAAATGGGGGTTAAATGCTATGTGAACCCAGAGAAAAGATGAGCTGTCTGAATTTGTTCTGTTCTGTTACAATGAGTCACTGAATTTCTGTGTAATTTCTTCCCTTAAAAAGCACTGGAGTTCATCATGGAGCAAACAATAACGCAGATCTCTACACAGGGATTTTTTCAGCCCAAGTCTATTTGAAATCCAGAGGTTAATTTAAACTCTAGCATCACAGGGAAGCCTGACTGGTTTGATGAGTGTCCTCTTAAGCCCATGACCATATTTCTTGGTGTTTTAACTAACAGAAAGTTTTTTCATACTGCCAAGGGTGAGGGGTGAGGGCTCTAGGCTTAATTTTTCTGTCAAAGAGCTGCTGCTCCTTTGCACTCAGTTTATCACTGCTCTTGCTCTGCAATTGTTCAGTCTGTATCGACTAAACCTCCAAAGCCCCCCTGAGTACAAATGGAACATATCCACCCAGGTATCTAAACATAAGGAGACTGACCTGAGGCTTAATCCCACCTGTGGGATCCCTCTCGTCCCCAGTCTCCTCCCTGATCTTCCTTTAACATCATTTACCAAAAGTCCTATGTGCCCAGCACCTGTCTGTCAGTGGCATTTTATCAGAGATTGGAGGAACAAATTTGCTATTTGCTTTGAGTTGCCCCTAGAAGATCAGACTTCAGGAACATAATCCTGAAATCAACTCCTAAAACTAAAGGGCTTTTTTCTGTGTTGCCAGGAAATGCAATGTTGTATTCAGTTTGCTTACCTAAAGCATCTTTTCTTCTTCTTAGTTTTCCCCTGAAAAATAGTCTGGTGGCTGCCCCAGTATGTAAGAAGATCTACAGCTGGGGTTGAATCCTTTTCCCATGTTCCCCAAGAGTCCTCTTGGCTGGTTGTGCCACATGACATGAGCCATTTGACTCCCTCAATGCCCGTCAGATGGTGCTCACCGTGATGGTCATATTCCTTTGATATCTGAACAGACTTCAGCATGTGGAGTCCACCCTCATGCCCTATTTTCTGCCTCTCTTTTGGCTCGAGTTTTATATCTGCTATAGTTTCCTAGTGATGTTGGATCAAATCTGACCATGCTTTGAG